TTTTTAGTTGTCCAGCTAATTTCTTTCTATTTTTTAGTAGAGACGGGGTCTCGCTCTTGCTCAGGCTGGTCTCGAACTCTTGAGCTCAAACAATCCGCCTGCCTCGGCCTCCCAGAGTGCTAGGATTACAGGTGTGAGCCACGGCACCCGGCCAGGAAATATATTTCTTGAGTGATTAAAAAAGAAGGAAAAAACAGATTGTAGATTAATTCGTGACTTTCACTGAAGCAAAAACTGGGCTCTGGGCTCCCTGGGTGGTGAGGATGAAGAGCAGAGTATAGCTGCAGCCAGACAAGGGAGCTGGGATCATTCTGGGGAACAGAAACTAATGAGAACAATGCCTCTTGCTGTACACAGGGCACTACAACTTACAACTCACACGGGGTGGTGAGGACTAGGATTGGGTGAGGATGCGAAGGTACCTCTCACCATTTCTCCAGCTGTTCCAATCTGTTGTCTGGGGGGGCTCCAATGCAAGCTTTTTGCTGCTGGACTTTCCACTCCTCCAACTTTGGCAGCAGTAGCTCAATTAGGGTAGTTGACCGGCCTAGCAGTGCTTTGGAGGCATCCAGCACCTCCTAGGAAAGAGATAACATGAATGCTGAGCACCTCTCACTATTGCCCTCCACCATCCAACTGAGAATGAGGAGACAATGAAGCCAAGGTAAAGGGGCAAGGACCCAGATCCCTCATTTTTCCTAGTTCCCCACTCCCTCTGTCCTCTGCCTCCCACCTTTCTCTTTTTGTCCAGTTCATTGAGAGTTTCCTGCAGACGCTGCTGCTGTCTGGTCTGATGGGGGTCCAAAGAGGATGTCCTCCCTGGATGGCAGGAGCAGGAGTCAGATCATGGGATCCTTCTCCTCTCCTTTCTGTCCAGGGTCCCAGTTGGAGTCAGGATAGGGGAATTTTGGAGGAAGAAGGAGAAACCGAGCAAAGCAGGTACCTGTGGGATGCTCAGGCAAATTCTGAATGGTCATGCTTAGACCAGACACCCCCTCAATCTGCTAAGTCAGTTTCCCATGCATTTCCTTCAACATTCACTAGCTGTTCCCCAGCCACACTTCCAAATCGACCTCTACAACACACCCTGACACTTCTAGCATTGCATGGTAGCAGGACTACAGTCAGGTGGAGAGTAGCCAAAGGTGACTGCTGCTCACTGGAGCTTTCCCCTCCCACCCTTGGCCTCTCAGCAGGCACTTGTCTTTCTCTCACTCCTCCATGTACTTCCTACCTTACCTTTGATCTGAGTCTTATATCGGAAGCAGAAGACATCCTGCTGGTCTTTCAGTTGGCTGATGGATTTCACCAGCTTCTGCAGAGGGGATGGGACCCTGATGAGGCTGCTTCTGAGGGAGCAGGTAGGCTGAGCCCTGCCCACCCTAACTCTTGCCACATCTACCAACCTCCATCATAGCCCTTAAATCCAGGATCCGGGATTCAATCTCATGCTGCTGGCTTTGCATAGGTGCTTCAAGAACTGGGTTGCTTTGTTCCTGAAATAAGAGCCTCTGAGCACATTTCAACTCTGACCACTCAACCCTTAATCAGGGGTCCCAACCTATGGTGAGCTGTATAATTGTTTCATTATTTATTACAATGTAATAATAGAAATAAAATTCACAATAAATGTAATGCACTTGAATCATCCTGAAACCATACCCTGCTGGCCCTGTCCGTGGAAAAATTTTCTTCCATGAAAATGGTCCCTGGTGCCAAAAAGGTTGGGGACCACTACTAAATCTACGCCTGAAATTATACCATAAGATGTGGGAGGATCCTATTCTGAGACAAATTCCCTGAGTCCTTTCCATGGTTTCTCTCTACTCCAGGAGCTTCCAATGTCACCACCAAGTTGTCCTCACCAACTGAGCCCTCTGAGCCTGAATCAGAATTCTTTTTTCATCCAGAAGGAGATTAAACATCATCTCAGCCAATTGGGTAGGGCCCTGGGAAAAGGCCTAGAGTAGGAAAAGAGAACAGATTGATCCAATTCAACCATTCCCAATACCTACCACTCCTAGACCATCCCCACCAATGTCCCCAGTACTTCCCCTTCCTTCAGGGTCCCTAATAGCCTTTTCCCTTTCATCATTGGACCCCCAAACCCTGGTACCCTCCCAGCAGTGTCATGCAGACCCTGCCCTTCTCTCTGCCAGTGATCTGCCAAATCTAGACTCTGTCCCCCTTTTCCCAGATCTGTCCCTCTCTCCCCGCCCTTACACCTCCAGGTACTATTCCATACCCCATACCTTACTCCTCTGCACTTAGCTCCCAGCCCTATCTTGTATTCCCAATTCCTGCAGGTACCTGAATGTCCCGGTAGAATTTTCGCAAGTTGTGATGTAGCAACAAGCGCTCACGGTCCTGGCTGCAGCGGCCACACTCATAGTTCAGTTGGTCCAAGAAGTGGAAGAATAGCATGTTAGCCTTGGAATCATCATTGCCCAGTACAGCTTCCTGCCTGGGGACCAATAATAACAAGGATTAGTGTTTCTGCTGCTGTACAGAGGCCTTCCAACCCCCTTCTGCCCATGATACCTCCAGGATCCTGGGGGCTGAGAAGAAAGGAACTAACTTCTTCACTACCCCCCAACTTCCTGAAGGCCTCACCAGTTCTGGTCTTCAATCCAGACGGCCAAGTACTGTCGAATGTCCATTGGCAGGAGGCTATGTGAGTAGAGCTGGTGTAGCTGATCCTGAAATGGGCTGTCAAGATTCTGCAGCATCTCCCACTGTGCCATTTGGGCTCTGAGTCAGAAAGAGGCAGGTTCCCAGTTGAATATTTTGCTGGACTAAATCGTCCATAGTCTCATGATTGTTTATTATTGCTAATTTAAAATGTTTAAGTTACAAAAGTAAAAAAAATACAGAAAACATTACAGTTTACATTGGCCCTACTCCCAATATTGGTTCCTCTGCCTCTTCTCCAGAAGTAACCACTGTCATCAGTTTGGTGCATATTCTTCCAAGGAGTACTATGGGTTGAGTATCCCTTATCCATAATGCTTGGGACCAGAAGCATTTTGGATTTCAGATCTTTTTTTCTTTTTGGAATACTTGCATTGTATACTTACCAGCTGAACAACCCTAATCCAAAAATCCAAAATCTAAAATCTGAAACTGTTTGAGCAATGACATGATACTCAGAGGAAATGCACATTGGAGCATTTTGGATTTTTGGATTAGGGATCTTCAACCTGTATTTAATAGCTCCAATACATGTACCTTCTTATTTTAATGGTAACTTTCACACACACACGAAAGTAGAGTGAACAGTACAAGGATCTTCCAGGTACCTATCATCCAGCTTCAACAAACAATAATATTTCTACTGTCCTATTTCATCTATGTCCCTCAATTAATTATTTATTTTTAATTTGTGTTTGTTTATGCTAAAGTATTCAAAGATCGGGGTCAGTCTCAAGTACTTATTTATCTTAGAGACAGGGTCTTGCTCTCTGGTTCAGGTTGGAGTGTAGCGGAACGATCATAGCTCACTGCAACCTCCAACACCTGGGCTCATATGATCCTCCCACCTCAGCCTCCTGAGTAGCTGGGACTGCAGTCCCTCACCTGGCTAATTTTTTTTCTTTTTTTTGAGACAAAGTCTCACTCTGTTGTCTGGGTTAGAGTGCCGTCAGCCTAGTGCGTCAGCCTAGCTCACAGCAACCTCAAACTCCTGGGCTCAAGCAATCCTATTGTCTCAGCCTCCCGACTAGCTGGGACTGCAGGCATGCACCACCATGACTGGCTAATTTTTTCTATATATATTTTTTAGTCGCCCAGCTAATTTCTTTCTATTTTTAGTAGAGACAGGGGTCTCACTCTTGCTCAGGCTGGTCTTGAACTCCTGAGCTCAAGCGATCCTCCTGCCTCGGCCTCCCAGAGTGTTAGGATTACAGGTGTGAGCCACGGTGCCCGACCTTAAGTATTTATTACAGAATGATCCCTGGTATCCCTCAAGATTTTTAGGGGTTAAAATCTTCTCGGAGATAAGTTAAGTACACTCTTTAAATTGCCCTCTCACTTGACCAGCCTTAAAAAAAATACAAAAATAAGGCCGGGCGCGGTGGCTCACGCCTGTAATCCTAGCTCTCTGGGAGGCTGAGGCGAGCGGATTGTTTGAGCTCAGGAGTTCGAAACCAGCCTGAGAAAGAGCGAGACCCCGTCTCTACTAAAAATAGAAAGAAATTAATCAGACAACTAAAAATATATAGAAAAAATTAGCCGGGCATGGTGGCACATGCCTGTAGTCCCAGCTACTCGGGAGGCTGAGGCAGGAGGATCGCTTGAGCCCAGGAGTTTGAGGTTGCTGTGAGCTAGGCTAACGCCACGGCACTCTAGCCTGGGCAACACAGTGAGACTCTGTCTCAAAAAAAAAAAAAACAAAAAACAAAAATAAACTGCCCTCTGTGTAGGAAGGAGACGCTCTATTCTAGAAGATGTCTAAATGCTATGCAAAATTGTGACACTTTTATGACCTGTCAATCTCTGATTCTCGATATGGATTAACTTTGTGAGACCCCAAATTCACTTAAAAATGGTTTATGCCTGTCACCAAGCAGGCTGTACCATGCATCTTTCTCTCCACTGCCATCTGATGTCTGTTTAGGAAATGGAAACTTACTCTGTTGCAGGCTGAGTCTAACAAACATGCATATTCGTGGTCTAAAAAGGTCACATGATTTTATCACAAAAGAAAAATGTTTGGTATGGGAGAGAGTCTTTTCCACCAGCATAAACAAAGCTGCCCTTCTAGAAACTGGGGAGGGGAGGGATTGGGCAAGGGCTCCTATTTTTCATTTTAACCCTTTTAGTAGTGCTTGACTTTTTAAACTATGCATCTGCACTGCTTTTAAGAAACAAAAAATTTTTTTAAATGATGAGGTAATTTCTTGAGGAACTAAGTGGCTGGTATCAAAGGAGCAAGGCAGCAAGTAAGCCCTGAGATTTAAATATTAAAACAAACAAAAAACCAAAACTCAAAACAGGTTTCTCCAAATAGATTGCACACACTGAGGTTACGGGCTGTAACACTCAATTTTTTTTTCTCCAGCTATCTCTCACTCTCTTAGGCACATATTTTACACTCAATAACCTTTTCTGAAATGAACTGGATTTTATGTGTGACCTTAGGCAAATAATTTCACCTTTCAGTGTCATACTTTTTTACATAACGAATAAAGATGATAAATCGTATCTATTTTGGACATTGTTTTTTGGTGAAGATCAAAAATAATGCAAAGCAGAGGCAAAAGCATTGGCTAAGACACAGAACCAATGCAACAATGCAACCCAGGTTCCGGGTCTTGGAACTCACAGAGGACTTTTGGGAGGACGTTAGGGTTGGGGAGCTAGGCTGGGCAGGGGGGTAAGATCCAGGCAGGACCCAGTGGACGACAGCTCCTATTTCAACCTGGGGACAGAAGCTGCGCAGTCCAGGGCGTACCCCCTATGACCAGCAGCCCTTCCCAAGGGGGCACTCTCACTATCACCCCACCCCTACCCCAGCACACCCTCTCAGGGGCCTTACCTGGTTAGGGTCTCTGTCCCCGCGCCCTCCAGTGGCTTTGGTCGCGACTTCCGGTCCCAAGAGAAACAGAGCCTCCCGCCCCGCCCACAACTTCGACCCGCCCCTCTGTAGAGGGCTTGAGTCGGCTGCTGAAGCCCGGAGCGCTCCATTCCCAGTCGGCATCCCGACATTGGCTGTCACTTAGCCTAGCCCTTCCCCAGACTGTGAGCTCATTGGTCCCGCCACAACTCCGCCGTTCCCCGCAGGGCGGGACAAGCTGGCCAAAACCACACCTCCAGCTCCAGGGATTGGTGGAGAAGCTCAAGTAAGTCCCTGCCCCAAACCTACCGGGAGGAGGTGTCCTATTAATGGACTACCCCCTGACTGAAACAGCTGATTTTCGAGAACTTGCCCTTTGGTGGCAGAACCGAAACTAGCTTGAGAGCCCTGGAGGAACTAAGGGATCCGTAGGAAGGGGCGGGACCGGAATTTCGACGTTCTGGGATAGGAAGGGGAGGGTTAAGATGATAACTGTTTATTGAGAGTACCGTGATAAGCACTTTACCTTCATTGTGTCATCCCTAATTTCCACAACTACCCATTCAGGTGAGAAGCATTATCTTTCCTTTAGAAATTTAAAAACTGACCTTCTTTCGAGAAAGAAGTCACTAGTCAGTGATCACCCAGGCACAAACAAGTGGAGCCTGGATTCAAAACCAAATCCTCTGACTCCAAACCCCAAACTTTTACATTTCTACATTTGACAGCACTGCCTTCCTCCTGGATAACAAATCAGAGGTTTATATTTTGAATACACACATACAGCTTGTCAGAATATTAGATTTATTCTTTTGTTTGTTTGTTTGTTTGTTTTGTTACCACCACCTTTTATATTCCAAGACTCCCATCCCCAGGAGCTAAGTCATAGCTCTTGAATAAGGCCCACCCCCAGTAGGGAGCTGAACTTACTACTTCTGACACCAAAGGAGTCATTGTAGTCGTTTCTTCCAAGTCACTCGCATCTGAGGTGCCCACCAAGCCCTCCATGCTGGTCTCTGGCTGAGGGATGTTTGCTTCTTTCTCATCATGATAATACTGGATCAACCACTGAACCCCAGCCTTTAATGCAGGTTTAAGTGCAGCACTGATCACTAAAGCCTCCGGCCCCCCTGACAGCCCGCTCATGGCCATCAGAAGGTCATATCCCAGATCTATGGCCCCTTCTTGGCTTCGTTCTTTGGCCTTGTCTGAGCAGTTCTGAGCAGCATAATACAAAGCTGTGCCCAGGTTGTAGTAAGTTCCCACTACTGGCAATAGCTGGAGGATACTGTACACACCTTGTTCTCGCTCATTCTCACAGTTATTGGTGGGGAGGGAGCGTCGGCCCCTGTGTGAGCCTGGCTGCTGACTGGCTAACAGCTGCAGAGCAGTGGCCAGCGCTTCCACTGACACTCCCCTCCGTGTGCTTCTGCCTTTCTGGAGCCTTTGAAGATGGTGGATGAGGACCCGTGTGGCGTTGACACCACCCCAGCGGTAGAGCTGAAGCTGCAGGGCCCGGACGTCAGCCTGGCAGCCAGCTTCCTCCAGGGCGTTCCTTAGAGCCAGGCCTACCAGGAACTTGGGTAGAGGGGCCATGTGGGTGAAGCCAGGCAAGGACTTTGGGAGCATGGTCTGGCAGGACAAGGGGTCTGAGGAGGGTGTCTGGGATCCCGAGGACAAGGGAAGGTGCATCAAGACATTTGTCTGCTTTCTATATGAAATGGCATCCACAAGCAGGAGGCAGCAAAGAAGCAGCTCAGCTGGTATTATAATAAGTCTGAGGCCACGCATGTTTGGAGCAGAGTACGGAGCAGAATACCCTAGAAAGGGGAGAAAACGAAAAGATACAAATGATTTCTCTAAGGGCAGTGGTCTGAAGGGAGCTCAAGACTCCTTTCAGGGGACACCTTGTATATCACCCACTTCCAAGTCTCTGTTTTGTTTAGGTAAAGACCTAGGAAATAGGAAATGCAACCCAATTGCTCCCACTTGGTCTCTCCCATTTACAAGTACCTGGGATTTCCTCCACTTTTTCCCACCCACTTACCCAAATTACCACAGAGTCCAGTCACTGAGAAGTGAGACTGCCTTGGTAGCTTTGGTCGTTCCCCAATACCGTTTTGCCTAGTTCTCTGTCCTATGAGGAAAGGAGATATTTGCTTTCCCCTATGATCAGTAACGGATGTAATCTGCAAATATTTGCCCATTTTGTACTGGCTGGTGAAACTTTGTTCCCTTGTCACAAATTCAACCTGAATACCTAAGATCCTGTCTTTGGTATGTCCTATATGTTTCTGCCACTTTCCCACATTCTCCCTCTAAGCTCTGTCACCCAGGCTGATATGCAGTGGTACAGTCATAGCTCATTGCACCCTCAAACTCCTGGTCTCCAGTGATCCTCCTGCCCCAGTTTCCCAAAGTGCTGGGAATACAGGCATGCGCCACCATGCCTGGGTCCCTAGTACATATTAAATGCACAATATTTGATAACTAAAAGAAAGAAATGAAGAGGGGACATGGGGTAAGAAATAGGGGCTGGCTGCTACTAAGTGGAGAGGGGCAAGACTAACATCAGTCACATGAGTGTTTAAGCACGGGGATGAAATAAAGAGCATGTATCTGTGCTAAGTAGTCTCCAACATTTCTAACTACTTATTGTGTCCCATCCTAGAACACATGGTCCTGGGAATGGAGACATCACCTATGTGGCATTGAATATCTGAAGTAAACTTGGATAAATTCCTGAATCATTTTCTACCTAAAGCACTTAAGAATAGCTGTGGTCAGCCTAGGCAAAAGTGAGACCTTGTCTCTACAAAAAATAGAATAATCAGCTGGGCGTGGTGTGGCGGCACATGCCTGTAGTCCCAGCTACTCAGGAAGCTGAGGCAGGAGGATCGCTTGAGCACAGGAGTTTGAGGTTGCAGTGAGCTATGATCATGCCATTGCACTCTAGCCCGGGCAACAGAGTGAGACTCTGTCTAAGAAAAACAAAACAGGCCGGGCGTGGTGGCTCACACCTGTAATCCTAGCACTCTGGGAGGCCAAGACGGGCGGATCGTTTGAGCTCAGGAGTTCGAAACTAGCCTGAGCAAGAGCGAGACCCCGTCTCTACTAAAAATAGAAAGAAATTAATCGGACAACTAAAAATATATAGAAAAAATTAGCCGGGCACGGTGGCGCATGCCTGTAGTCCCAGCTACTCGGGAGGCTGAGGTAGAAGGATCGCTTGAGCCCAGGAGTTTGAGGTTGCTGTGAGCTAGGCTGACGACACGGCACTCTAGCCCCGGCAACACAGTGAGACTCTGTCTCAAAAAAAAAAAAGAAATATATACAGAAAAAATTAGCCGGGCATGGTGTGCGCCTGTAGTCCCAGCTAGTCGGGAGGCTGAGGCAGGAGGATTGCTTGAGCCCAGGAGTTTGAGGCTGCTGTGAGCTAGGCTGAGGCACAGCACTCTAGCCCGGGCAAGAGTGAGACTGTCTCAAACCAACAAACAAACAAGAAAACTTTTCAAATGTGAACATTCTATAATTCAGCCAGTTTTTACTTTCAGATAACTTCTTCACTGGATCTCAATTCCCTTTTAAATAACATACTCCTATTCCAGAAGGCAGTTAGCTTTTCATCATTCTTTCTGTCTAGATAACATCCAAAGACAAATCCCATAGGGACAAGTACATAAACCCAGTGGTCACACACAAGGTGAAGTAAGTTGACCATGACTGCTGCGGCCTCAGTGCCAACAAGGACTCCACAACCAAGGGCAGCAACTTGAGCTGATTCTTAAAGGATGAACTAGGGGTTGAATAGAGCCCTCCAGCAGAGGGACTGGCATGAACAAAAGCTTGGTGGCATGAAAAGGTCTGTTCTGTGGTGATTTTGAAAATAGTCAAAGGGGCCATAGTATAAGATATGGGTGTATTTAGACACGACAGTGAGGCTGCAAAGATTGGCCAAGATCAGGCTTGCTACTCTCTAGACTGTCCTGAAAAAAGTGTAAATCATCAAATGCTCCTGAGCAGGCCAGTGACAGCATGTTTAGATACATGCTTTCTAAAAGTATGTTTTAGAAAGAAATTTTGAGAAAAGAAAGAATGAATTTCTGCAGGCAGAATGAAAAATGAGTTAGAAGGAAGAAGAGATCAGAGGGAGGAATCCTAGAGGGTCAGCTATTTTAAGAGTCTAGGTCAAAAATGAGGAGGAGGGGATGTACTTGAGGGTAGAACCAATGTACTGTAGTATTAATATCTGGCTCATTCTCTTAAGCTCCATCAGCAGCAGCTGCAGCTAAAACTTTATTTGACCTATGACCCTGGGTGGTGCAATTTAAGGGAGAGGGATTCAGTTAGTTTCCTGGAGCCCCAATATCAGTCCCAAGAGGCAGTCCCTTAGGCATATGGAGAGCCAATAAGCTAGATGGGGCAGAAAAGAACCCAGGAAGCAAGTGAAAGATTTTTTTAACATAATGGGTATGGGGTTTATTTTTGGGGTGACGAAAATGTTCTGGAATTAGATTGTGGTGATAGTTGCATAACACAGTAAATATACTAAAAGCTACTGAATTGTAAACTTCAAAATGGTTAAAAAAGTGAATGTTATATAAGTTGTACCTCAAAAAAACAAAAATATACTGAAAACCTGAAAGAATTCATCACAACTGACCTGCAATGGTAGAAATGTTTAATGAGTCCTCAGGCAGAAGGAAAATCACTTCCATTTATACTCAAAGAAATGAAGAGTATAAGAAATGATAATTACATGGGCAAATTTATCTTTTTTTCTTTTTAAAGAAATATTGGACTAGCCAGAACAGTGGCTCACTGTGTAATTGTAGCATTTTGAAAGGCCAAGGTAGGAGGATAACTTTAGGCCAGCAGTTCAAGATCAGCCTGAGTGAGACGCCATCTCTAAAAAATATAGAAAAATTAGCTGGGCGTGGTGGTGCACACCTGTAGTCCCAGTCTCGACCTGTGCTCAAGAGGCTGCACCAGGAGGATTGCTTGAGCCCAGGAGTTTGAGGTTGCAGTGAGCTATGATGACACCACTGCACTACAGCCTGGGCAACAGAGTAAGACTCTGTCTCCAAAAAATAAAGAAACAAAGAAGAAAAGAAATAAAGAGAAAGAAACAAGACAATTCAAAGGCATCCTTTACCTTTGTGATCTGAATGGCTATTATCTTCTGAATCTCTGAATCTCACCTTCACTCTACCTCAGCTGGAAACATAAGGGAGCAAGAAAGCTGATGGTTTCCAAGAACAGTTAAGGACGTGACATTTGTAGTATTTATCCATCTCTTTCCTGCCACATTTTGTCCTCTCCTCTGCCTCATGCTGACAAACTGGCTTCTTCTTCCTTTATGGCTCCTGCTTTTTCCTGCTGTGTACTCTTTTCCCTCTAAGGATTTAGCCTAGACTAAGTGTGTCTCCTATGGGGAAAGGGGGAGAGCAGAAGAAAAGGGAAGTTTTGCTGGTCTCTTTTAACCCCCAAATTTTAAAATTCTTCTTTCCAGAACATAGCAGGTGGAGGGCTGGGGAACTTAGACAGATTGAACAAGTCAGACTGGTATCAGCAACTTTTAATTTTATGTGTTTAATTGAATACCAAACACAAACCAAACATGCTAATTATCTAGGGAGTATTATATTCCAACCCTGCCTCAACTGCAGAAAGTGGGCTCAATCTGGTGTCTAGGGGATGATCACAGGAAAGAAAATGAGGACAGAGGCATCTGGTACCTTCTAAAAGTGGTATAAAACCCCCATCCATCATGTCATAAAGCTTCCCTTCTGGTGCTGTGACCCACCTCCAAGAGAAGGCCAACAATAACAGATTAATCAAAGGGGGCCAGGATGTTTTCTGTATTTCACTCGCTCCTCTCATTTGTCATGAGGCTCTAATTACCAACAGAAATGGCTCCTAGAAGAGGAGGAGTAAATCTCCAGAGAGCTGCTGGGGCATACTGATAAAACTGGGAGAAGCAAAGACTGACAGCAGAGGGGGCCAACACTGTTACTGAAATTTCTTGGCCCTAAATCCATGGCAAAGCCCAGGACTCTGCTGCTTCTGTCCAGTAAGAGGAGTTTCTGTGCCATGTATGACACTTCCAACTCTCACCATCTAAAAATGGGTCTATCTCTACCCCTAGGCTTCTGGCTCTTCAGTCATTCTCATCTTCGTCTTCAATCTGAAACCGTTTCTTCTTTTGGATTCCTGGAGCTATGGGAATGACAGGGGTGAGAGAGAAAGAAAGAATATCTTAATATGTTAAGGAGTAAGAGGGTGGTAGAGTTTGTCTTTAGGATTAAAGAAAATAGTGATAGAGATTAAAAGAAAAAGAAGGTTCTAATCAAACTCCCTACCTCTGTTTCTACCCTCATCTTCCTCCTGCTCCTCATCACTGTCCAGGAGTTGTCGCTTCTTGGGTGCTGCCTTCAGCTGCTCTTTCCCATCAGGAGTTTCCTCCTCTAACATGAACATAAGAGACACAAAATTAGGGAACTGGGTCCTCATATTCTCAAAATACCTTATAAGGCCTCCAGACCAACGTGGCTGGCACACAGTAAGTACTCAGTAGATAAGCAGTGACACTATTACCCTCTGAGGACGCCAAGCCTGCTTTCTTTTTACGGGCTGACAAGAGAGCCTTTAGGGCTTGTGCTCGGTGCTCTTTATGGTGCTCCTCACTGGGGCCTGGCTCTCCAGGGACCTTAGGTTCTAGCTCTGGCTGCAGCTTTTTCTCCTCTGGTTGACTCAAAGAAGCTGCTACCCTCCGGAGCTGGGTGGGACTCAGCTTGGCTGGAATTCGCCAGAAAGTTTCCTACAGGGGCAAAGAAGTTGAAAATGACAGTAAAAGGAAACAACCAGTCTCTAGCTCACCAGGTTTTAATATTATTCATTAAATAAATATGATTCAACATTGGTAAAGATCCACAAAGGGATGTGAATATTCTACTTATTACTTATTTATTCAATATACACCCAATGTTCTAGCACAGTGCCTGCTACATTAGGAGGTTCCCAGTAAATATATCTGTTAATTGAATAAATAAATGAGTAAATCCTTAGGATTTAAAGGATTAGGTATGAATCCTTTAGATCAGAGTGGGAGGGTGGTCATACAGGACCCAGGTGAATCAGGTTTAATCCTTGTTCTCAAGGAGCTCACAATCTAATGGGAAAAAGAGTGAATGTGCTGTAATACCATAGGATCAAGGCTATATCAAGGGAATGAACAAATCTGAGCAGCCAAAGTGATTATTTTTACTATAGTGGTTGAAAGAATGATAGGGACTGCTCTTCTGAATGGGTGACAATTGAGATGACTCTTGAAGGTTGGGTAGAGGTTCATCAGGAAGACAGGTGTGATGTGCATTTGTGTGTGCATGTATGTGTCACTTTGTATGTGTGGTTACAGCCTTCCAGTAGATGGACTGGCATGATCAACTATTTGGAAGCATGAAAAAGACTACTGTTTGAAGGGTGGAAAATAGTCCAGGATAACTAGAGTGTAAAATAGATGTGTGGGTAGCACAGCTGTGAGGCTGCAAAAGTTGGCTAAGGATGGGCATGCCACTTGGAGGTTGAGTATTCTGTCCTGCAAGCTGTAAGGGACCATTAAGTGTTCTGGACAGGGAAGTGATATACAGTAGACCCTCCATATATGTGGGTTCCACATCTACAGATTCAATCAACTGTAGAGTGAAAATATTCAGAAAAAATAAACAATAAAAATAATCTAGAGATGATTAAAGTATATGGGAGTATGTGTGTAGGTCACATGCAAATACTACACCATTTTACACAAGGGACCAGAGCATCTGCAAATGCTGGTATTTGCGGGGGGTGAGGGAGGCTCCTGGAACCCATCCCTTGTAGATACTGAGGGATGATTGTAAGCAAAACTATAGTTTAGGCTGGGTGAGATGGCTAGCGCCTGTAATCCTAGCACTCTGGGAGGCCATGGCAGGAGGATCGCTTGAGGTCAGGAGTTTGAGACCAGTCTGACTAAGAGCGAGACCCTGTCTCTACAAAAAATAGAAAACTTAGCCGGGCATCATGGTGCGCACCTGCAGTCCCAGCTACTTGGGAGGCTGAAGCAGGAGGATTACTGGAGCCCAGGAGTTTGAGGTTGCAGTGAGCTATGATGCCACTGCACTCTAGCCCAGGCGACAGAGTGTGACTCTGTCTCAAAAAACAAAAACAAAAACAAAAAAACCCCTATATTTTAGAAAGATAAATATAGGGGAAGTCTAGAAGACGGATTTAGGGGAAGGAAAAATTGGAGAGGAAGAAAGGAAGACTAACAGAACAGAGTCCAAAGGAGTCTTGGTCACAGATGACCAACACAGCAATGAGGAGGAGAGGACAATGAGGACAGAGATGGCACTGAGGAGACAATGGAGAGCACAGAGAGGGCAATAGAAGGACCTAGTTGGCAACTACAATGAGGAGAAGATGTATTTTGCCTTAGCTGACACTGTAACTGGTATGTTTACCTGTTCAGAGGCAGGGGGCCGAACCCCTAGCTTGCACAACAGCTGCTGAAACTGTTTGTTTTCCATTGCTTCCTCATTTTCCTCTGTCAGTGGCACCAATGGAACTGCCTGAGAGCAACCTAGGACAGGGTCAATAGCCATACAGTGAAGATGTGAAGAAAGAACTGGTCTTCCATCCCTTGACCAGGTCTCCAGCGGCCTCCAATACTCCAGTCCTCCTAAAATGATCAACTGTCCACTCACCATCCTCTTCCCGATCATTTGCTACTCGAATCAGGCAGTTCCGGAGCCACAGGAGGGGAGCAGAAAAGCCTACGGGAAACAGGGAAACTTACATTTGGCCCCCTCTCCTAACCCCTCCACCTGACACATCTCTCCCACCAAAGTCCTCACCTTCCTGATGCAGGCTTTGACCAAGGTTTTCAGTTGAAAGGAATGAGCTACCTTGGACTTGTTCTGCTTCTGAGCCCTCCCCTTTCTCTTCATCCTCTTCACTCTCTTCCTCTGGCAGGTGTTCCTCTTGTTCTAGATCACCCTGGGAAAAATCTTTCAGGGATTCCTCTCCATTGGGCTAAAATTCATTGCGGGAGGGAATGAAAAATGGGACAACATGAGGAACTTAAGAGTGTTCTGGTTCCTGACCACCCCACTGGAGGGACCTAGTCAGAACTGCTCTAGGCAGGAAGAATCTAGGTGGCCTACTCCTAAGGAGCACTTCAGGGGGAGTGGGCCCAAGCCAGCAGAGCCAAGGTAAGATTGTTACCAAGCTAGAGGGCGCCAACTTCTTCCGCCGTTTCTTATAGAGCTCCCGCCGCTCAGCCACCAGCCCCAGAGCCAATAGTTTGTCCACTATTCGGGCCTGTGAGCGTTTGGCTGTGATATTCTTCATAATATTACCCAGGACATCTATAGAGAGGGAGTATGTGAATATCCAAGAGCAACAGGGGAAAGGGATTAATAAAAGAAATGAGAGGTCTCTGCAAAGAAGCTAGCTCAATTTACCCAAAAATGATACCAATATAGTACGTGGAATGGGATAATCTTTCCTGGGAATAAGAGGTGGGGGAAGAAGAAATGAACAGCTTGGTTCTCATCTCAGAGGTTCCCTGAACTTCCACCTCACTTACCATCTGAGTCCCGGAACTCCTCAAAAAGCCGCTGCAGCTCCAGCTCCTGATCTTCCGTCCACAGTACAATACGGGTTCCTTTCCTGTTTAGGGAGGTGTCAGTGGAAGAGGAGGCCCAGGGAGTGAACAGAGGATTCTCCATGCCAATTCCCTCCAGAGCATGCACCTCTACCTTTGGAAGTCCTTGACACTGTCAGCCAGTCCCAGTCGTACCAGATGGTGGATGATCTGCTTGCGTGTTCGAGAAGCAGAATTCAGGTGTGCCAAAATGACTTCCACCACATCCTGACCTGGGGTGGAGAAGGAGTGAGGCAGTAAAGAGGGGTCCTGGAGCTCAGGCTGCCCTCCTCATAAACTCTTGAGATCTCAAGGCCTCACACCTTCCACGTCCTTATGGGCGAGGTACAGTTCCCGAAGATGAGCCTCCTCCTCTGGGCTCCATGTAGGGGCTCTGCGACTGGAAGACCTGAATGAGAAGGGGGAAGGGAAGCCTTTAGGTTGTTGGCCCAGAAGGAAGAGACCAAAGGCCCTCTCTGATGAGTTCTGCAAGAAACAAGAAGGGGGAGGCAGGTAACTCAAGGGAGCCAGCTAGAGGAGGCCTAAGGTATGCTTCCTTCCCCTTACTCTCTTCCTTCCACTTAAGAACCCAAAAATCAGCAGGGAGGGGGTAAAGGGCAACATACGTAACCTAAATATCAGTACCCCCATAATATGCTGAAATTTAAAAAAAAACAAAAATCAAACCAAGAGATTTTCCAGGTTGGGCCTATGGAACCTGATACTCCAGATACACTGAGAGTATCATGGCAAAAAGAGAAGTGTGAAAGGAGAGGAGCTGAGATACTAAAAGAAAGAGGACAAACATTTCTATAAATCCTTACAGATTCCCTGTACATTTTGGGAGAGGCCACCTCACCCCCAATAGTAAACACCTCCATGAAGGCTGGTGAAGGAAAAGGAAATGGAGTAGACAGGAGACTTAGGCTCCAGTCCCTGTTCCTCACTTAGGTAAAGCATTTCACTTCCTGGACCTGTTTGTTTGTTTTTTACCTGTGACAGGGAAAGAAATAGTAGACTAAATGATCCGCAAGCCTTCACAGCTTTGACACTCTGTGACTCTGCATCACCTCCCCCTACAGCCCATCCTTCCCCATTCCCAAGCTGCTCACCCGCCATCCAGGGAGCCATAGCCTTCGGTCATCTCTCGAACCACAGCTGTGTTCTTCCAGAACAGCAGCTCCACAAAGGCTTTTTGGTTGACTGCGGCCAGTGCAAAGAACTTGCCCAGGATGTATTTGGCAAAAGTCACTAGCTCCTATAGGAGAGGGAGCCTTTATGAGGCCTCTGCCCCATGTATACACAAACCTGGCCCTCACAGCCTGAGCAAGAGCGAGACCCCGTCTCTACTAAAAATAGAAAGAAATTAGCCAAAACAACTAAAAATAGAAAAAATTAGCCAGGCATGGTGGCACATGCCTGTAGTCCCAGCTACTCGGGAGGCTGAGGCAGAAGAATCGCTTGAGCCCAGGAGTTTGAGGTTGCTGTGAGCTAGGCTGATGCCACAGCACTCTAGCCCAGGCAAGAGAGTGAGACTCTGTCTCCAAAAAAAAAAAAAGAAAAGAAAAGAAAAAACAAAAAATCTGGCCCTCTAGGTATTTTCTCTATGTCTATTCCCAGCTGCCCCCTCCTCACTGAGACTCTCTTCTATCCTTCCCCATGCAGATCCCTCAACCTGTCTGCCTACTTCCTCACCGTTCTCTCATCTCCTAGCCCTTGACACCTCTCAGTGTCCTTTATCTCCTGAAGATTATTCCTTTATTACAGAATTCTCATACCCTTCCAGACCCCCACTCCTTGGTATCCCCTCACTTTGTAGGCGCCAGCAGCAGGGTCACTAAGCAGCCTATTGAAGATGCAGAAAACTGAGAGCTGGAAAAGTAAGGCTTCCATTTTGAGGTCATGGGCCAGCCGGTGCAGCATCTTGACAACACAGTGGTTAGTGTGAGCGCTATTCCGCTGGTAGCTCCGCAGCAGCAGCGCATAGGCTCTGACAACAGTTGAGCATGCGAAGCTGCACCAAAACAGGGAGGGAGAGGAAGTCAGCATAGGAAAGACACCGCTCATCCTCACAGCTGCACAATCACCAGCCTGGGACCAACTTAGTGTTCTTAGCCCGCACCGTTTTAGGTAGTCCAGAAAATTAAATTCTTTTTCCGACACCTGGACCACTTGCAACTCCTCCTCCTCCTCATCTTCTTCCTCTTCTTCCTCTGCTCCTTGTTCCTCTGGCCCCTCCTGCCCTACAGACAGAGCGAGGATGACTGGGTCTGTTATGCTGGTTGCAGAGAAGAGCTGGAAGGGGATAGACGTGAAAGAACGGAGACTCACGGGGAAGCGGAGCAGAGAGGATTTGTTTCAGCAACTGGATCTCTTCCTCTGGGGAAATGTCTTGAGAGCCAAAAACATCTCCTTCTGGCCATACCTCCCTGGAGCACAGACAGAAAAAAGGCTTTAACCAGAGGAAATCTGATTTATAATTTGAAGTGGAAAGAATTTAGGCTCACTTCATTTGTCAGCCAGAAACAGAATGCAAACTGTTACCTTAGAGATGAAATAAATATTCTAGGAAAATTTTCCTCCTAAAAAAATCATATAAGAACTGGGAGGCTGAGGTGGGTGGATTGTTTGAGGTCAAGAGTTCAAGACCAGCCTGAGCAAGAGCGAGACCCCATCTCTACTAAAAATAGAAAGAAATTAGCCGGACAACTAAAAATATAGAAAAAAAAAATTAGCCGGGCATGGTGGCGCATGCCTGTAGTCCCAGCTACTTGAGAGGCTGAGGCAGGAGGATCCCTTGAGCCCAGGAGTTTGAGGTTGCTGTGAGCTAGGCTGATGCCACAGCACTCTAGCCCAGGCAAGAGAGTGAGACTCTGTCTCCAAAAAAAAAAAAAAAAAAGAAAAGAAAAAACAAAAAATCTGGCCCTCTAGGTATTTTCTCTATGTCTATTCCCAGCTGCCCCCTCCTCACTGAGACTCTCTTCTATCCTTCCCCATGCAGATCCCTCAACCTGTCTGCCTACTTCCTCACCGTTCTCTCATCTCCTAGCCCTTGACACCTCTCAGTGTCCTTTATCTCCTGAAGATTATTCCTTTATTACAGAATTCTCATACCCTTCTAGACCCCCACTCCTTGGTATCCCCTCACTTTGTAGGCGCCAGCAGCAGGGTCACTAAGCAGCCTATTGAAGATGCAGAAAACTGAGAGCTGGAAAAGTAAGGCTTCCATTTTGAGGTCATGGGCCAGCCGGTGCAGCATCTTGACAACACAGTGGTTAGTGTGAGCGCTATTCCGCTGGTAGCTCCGCAGCAGCAGCGCATAGGCTCTGACAACAGTTGAGCATGCGAAGCTGCACCAAAACAGGGAGGGAGAGGAAGTCAGCATAGGAAAGACACCGCTCATCCTCACAGCTGCACAATCACCAGCCTGGGACCAACTTAGTGTTCTTAGCCCGCACCGTTTTAGGTAGTCCAGAAAATTAAATTCTTTTTCCGACACCTGGACCACTTGCAACTCCTCCTCCTCCTCATCTTCTTCCTCTTCTTCCTCTGCTCCTTGTTCCTCTGGCCCCTCCTGCCCTACAGACAGAGCAAGGATGACTGGGTCTGTTATGCTGGTTGCAGAGAAGAGCTGGAAGGGGATAGACGTGAAAGAACGGAGACTCACGGGGAAGCGGAGCAGAGAGGATTTGTTTCAGCAACTGGATCTCTTCCTCTGGGGAAATGTCTTGAGAGCCAAAAACATCTCCTTCTGGCCATACCTCCCTGGAGCACAGACAGAAAAAAGGCTTTAACCAGAGGAAATCTGATTTATAATTTGAAGTGGAAAGAATTTAGGCTCACTTCATTTGTCAGCCAGAAACAGAATGCAAACTGTTACCTTAGAGATGAAATAAATATTCTAGGAAAATTTTCCTCCTAAAAAAATCATATAAGAACTGGGAGGCTGAGGTGGGTGGATTGTTTGAGGTCAAGAGTTCAAGACCAGCCTGAGCAAGAGCGAGACCCCATCTCTACTAAAAATAGAAAGAAATTAGCTGGACAGCTAAAAATATAGAAAAAATTAGCTGGGCATGGTGGCACATGCCTGTAGTCCCAGCTACTCGGGAGGCTGAGGCAGAAGGATTGCTTGAGCCCAGGAGTTTGAGGTTGCTGTGAGCTAGGCTGACGCCACGGCATTCTGTCTCAAAAAAAAAAAAAAAAAAAAAATTCACATAAGAGGTCAGACAAGGTGGCTCATCCCTGTAATTCCAGCACTCTGGGAGGCCAAGGCGGGAGGATCGCTTGAGCCAGGAGTTCAAGGCCAGCCTGAGCAAGAGTGAGACCCCTCTACTAAAAAATGGAAGTTAGCCAGGTGTGGTGGCTTGTGCCTGTAGTCCCAACCTGTCAGGAGGCTGAGGCAGGAGGATCGCTTGAGGTCATGAGTTTGAGGTTACTGTGAGATAGGTTGACACCACAGCACTCTAGCCCAGGCAACGGAGCAAAGCTCTGTCTCCAAAAAAAAAAATGAGCCAGGCGTGGTGGCATGTGCCTGTAGTCTCAGCTACTGGGGAGGCTGAGGCGGGAGGATCACATAGCCCAGAAGATCAGGGTTGTAGTGAGCTATGATGGCACCTCTGCATTCCACCCTCGGTGACACAGCAAGACCCTGTCTCAAAAGAAAAAGAACAAAATGCAGACAATCTAAATGCTTGACACCTGGTTGAGGAGAAAATGTACATATTCACATAATGGTGTTTTAAAGCCATTAACAATTATAGAAATATATCTGATGAGAAATGATGTTCACCATATACTGAGAAGTGAAAAAATACTACAAATCAGCATGAGCAGTATTTCATTTTTATAAAAGGAGGTATACATGATATTTCTACATATAATGGAGAAAAACACTCTGGAAGGATTCTCATTAAAATGTTAATGATATTTATCTTCATCTAGAATTACAGTAAGTCCTCGCTTAACATTATTAATAGGCTCTTAGAAACTGTGACTTTAGGTGAAACAAAACACAGGGCTCAGAGTGGAAGTCCTCGGCCTTTTGAGGTGAGGGCACGCCTCGTGCCTGCTTGGTGCTCCCTCAGGCTCGAGCCTCAGTCCTGGAAAAGTGAAGAGCAGAAGGGCGGGAGCGTGTGAGGAGGTGCAACAGACAGTGGTGGAGGCCTGACCCTCTGCAGGGTGGCTGCATCACCACCTTGTGCAGTTTTCCAGGTGTGCTTCCCTGCCCTGGACCCACGCTGCTGTCACGTCCCTCTGGAGGGTATGTGTGTGTGGAGACCCGAGCCCGTAAATCCATACATGGGAAGCTGGGTGCGTTGGCTCACGCCAGTACTGCAGTTGCTAGGGAGGGTGGCTTGAGCTCAGGAATTTGGGACCAGCCTGGACAACACAGCGAGACCCTATTTAAAAAAAAAAAAAAAAAAGGCTGGAGCCCCAGGACCCAGGAAGCCTTCTGAAATCTAACCTACTGTCCAAAACTAGAGGACAGCCCATGGCATGGGAAGTTTGTGGGAATAAAATATTCTGCAGCCACCAAAAATAATGTTAATTACTGGGTAATGGGAATAAAAGTGATTCTGTAAAATTAAAAAAAAAATAGAGCAAGTCCTCTAATAACATCATTTCGTTCAAAATCTCCTTATAACATTATGAGAAAAATAAAATTGGTTTCGTTATACATCATTTCACTTAAAGTTGCAGTTTCCAAGAACCTATCAATGACAGTAAGGGAGAATTTACTATATTTTCATTTTTCTTTCCAATTAACTGTGCTTTCTGATGTTTTTCAAAAAAAACCAAAAACCCCCAACAAACCAATCAATACTCCCAGGAGTCAGTGCTCAGTACTGAGTCCCAGAGAGAAAGCCTGTGGTGGGACTTCTCTCTTTGGAGGACTGATAACCCCATACCATGGTGATGGGCTCCTCTTGACCCCAAAGCCCAGGAGGATGGATGGGCAGAGTCCTTACCGGGCAGACCGCAGGAGGGTCAGGGCCTGTGGGGCCTGACCAGCCAGGAGACAGTCTTGGATCCGCACCATGGCTTCCGCCCTCTGCTCTTCCACTGGCACCTCTGAAGCCGCGTCAAAGGGAACCATGGAGTCTATGCTGAGCTCAGGATCCTGGAGATGGAAAAGGCTACGGGAGCAGAGTGGGGGGAACCCAGATCGTCTGCCCAGAGCACTATCCTTGAGAAAGATAGAGTTTCTGTAACCACCTACCTGGGCACAGCACTGTAGCTGCTCAGCCAGGGCTGACCACACAGCCTCCAGTTCTCCTGGGCTATGTGGGACATTACCAGAAGCAATAGCCTGGTCTAGGACTTTCTTCTTCTTCTTTCTCTTCTTTCGTTTGTTCTACAGGGAAAGAACTGTATTAGGATAGCAAGAGAGCTAAGGAGGCCTTTTCCCCATCAATGTCTTCTCTATTACAAAACTAATTAATTAGCTGGAGATTCACACAGTGCCCATTATGTGCTACTCATAGGGAATGGGAAGCAATAATGGACAGTACATTTCCTTGCCCTTGAGGAGCTTGTACTCTAGTGGGGGAGACAGGTAAATAAACAGGTAATTACATTACAGTGTAGGTAGGAGCTACAATGTGGGTGAGCATGAAATGTCATAGCATTTCCCACAGCAGCCATGGGTAAAATAGAGCAAAAAAATTTTTTTAAATGCCATGGCACAACTCAGCACCTGACCCATTCTAC